GCCTGCTTCACCTCTGGTCTCTGGAGATTGCAGCCCAGCCAGCCGCTTGTAATTAAAGGGGCATAAAGACAGATCAAGCTCTTTCCTCTTCTCCACTGAAGGGAAGAGGCTGGATAAGAATCCACTGGATGCCTCGGACAACAAACCTCCAAAGAGAGCTGCTTTTTTTGTTGCAATTGCATCCATAGAATGTGCATTTACCACAGGTTCACCACAAAGCTGCTCATCGTAATAATACCCCTCAAAGTTTTTATCCTACTGTATGTTTTTTAATACAATTCTCAGAATGTATTCTCAGGGTATATTTCTCCCATCATGATTAGCTGTTGTTATCCAAGAACATTCGGATACTAGAGCTACTATTCTTGATGAAGCCAAACGTGATACACAGCAATCGCAGGCAATCAGCTCACTGCAGGATCGTTTCTTTTAGTCTTGGCTGTTTCGGAAAATCCTCTCCAGCCAACCCTTAAATCTTTAATGGAAAGAGAGGGAGAGAAAAAGATTGGAAGATTTTGACAAAAACCAACAAAACATCTGCCCACTACTATTAGAAAGATTACTCTATAACACTATGTTTATTTCTGTTATTTAAAGTTATATTCACTATTATTGCATTTTGAAATCATACATTTGTGCAATAGTGTTTTTGGCATCAGAGCAATTTGATAGTAAATGCATCCATAAATAGTATCCACCGCAGGACCACGTTCAATTCACAGCATAAACTGTGTGATTTGTGTTTTCTATATCTCTGTGGTTGTGTTGCTAGCAGAGTAGTCTACATATCTATCAGAGGCTGACAGATAGCCACCTCCTAGAAACCAACATCCATGACCTTCATGGTTCCTCTGCATCTAGGTGGACAGAAGCCATTCTCTGCTTCATAGGATCTTAAAATTGAGGTCTTGAAAGGTGCAACCTAGACATCTGAGGGAGACCTTGAAATTTCAGCCAAAAAAAATCCCCACCTTCTACAGTAATACCCAAGTCTTTCCTTTCAGAAAGAAACAGAAACACCCAGCATAGACTATTAGCATAGAGAGAGCTTGGCTGTCAGCAGAGCTGCTATTGTCTGTGAGGCTGTGTCAATCTCCTCTCACCTTCCAGCTGTGTGTTCTGGAGCTGTTCTTGCCTCAACCTGCCACCGTCACACTCTTTCAATCAACACAGTCAAAGCAGCATATACATATTTACCAGATCCAATACTGCCACATATTCATATTTACCTGCACCAATGCTCTGAGCTGCCTATTTCAGATTATATTAAGGGCTGGTTACTGAGGTTTTATTGATGTGGCAGGCTGGCAGCAGTCCTCTGGCTCCAGGGCAACAGCACTCCACTCATACCTCATTCACACCAACGGTGTTTCAGGGCCGGTTCGGAGCTGGAGCTTGAAAAGCACCGGGTTTTCCTGTTCACACCGCAGCGGAGCAGCCTCTTAGCTCCGGAATCCGGTTCGTTTCAAGCACCAAAAAATTGTGCAAAAGCACCATACGTCACGCTTACGTCGAGGCGGGGGCAGGGGCAGGGGCGGGATCAACTCCTGAACAACAACAGAAAGCCCGCGTTGTATCCAGTTTGTACATAATGATGGAGAAACTTAACAAGCAGCAGTGGTCCACTGAAGAGACCAGCTACCTACTGGGAATCTGGTCTTCCGAAGAGGTACAGAGGAAGCTGGAGCACAATCGGCCATTGTTGTTGTTGTTGTCGGTGTCAGCTGTGAGGAGTTTCCGCGCGGTTTGGCTTTATGAAGCAGGCACGCAAACGGTTACGTCATGACGCAAACGATGACGCAATGACGCAGCACCAGTCGGACTCTGGGCAGTGTGAAAAGAGCCGGAGCTAAACCGAAGAACCGGTTCTGAACCTGAAAAGCTCTAGCACGGAGCTTGAACCGGAGTTGCGTTGGTGTGAATGAGGAGTGCGAAGAGAGATGGCTCTTTGCTTGAAATGGGCATAGTGCCTTTTTTATGTCACTACTGTACGAAGCAAACATACTGCTCTCAGTGTAATCCACAAACGACACATATTGTAGTGCACCTAAAATTAAGTTGTTCTACCTAATCAAAAAGCAATTATTGCCTCTGTGAGGGTCAATAATCCCTGCAAGGGGTCTCAAAGATAAATCTGACGGGTTGTAAGATGATTCAGGTCTCCCTTTAAAAAGAGATCAATGATCTCAATGGGACCACCTGGTTAAATAAAGGTTTGAAATAAATAGGAACGTTAAGCAAAAAACTAATTTATTCTACACTGTTTTATTTATATTCTTGGTATTTTCTCTAATCTTTCCCTTTTCTACATTTAAAATACTGATTAGTTTTACCTCTTCAGGAATCTTTAAAGGTATTAATCAAGAAAAAACTCCCTGGTTGAAATGGTATAACTTGAAAGTAGTCATTGCTTAGTGTAGGGGCAAGCCAAAAAAGGTTCAGCCTCGCTGCACTTCTATTGTCTATCATCATGTATGTGTTATTGTTTGTTTAATCTGTCCAACTGGCATTTATTCTGGACATTTTTGTAAACATTCATTAATCAAACTGCAGGCACACCTAATTGCTTTACAGACAGACAGTCCTGTGTACTTCCATATAGCCAGAGAGACCCTCAGCCAGAGAGCGTCAGGTTGCCCCCCGTGCCGCTCGGCCCCTGCTGCTCTCAAGGCCCGGGGCAGCAGAGTGGAAACACGGTGAACCTGGCACTGCCCGTACACTCAGTGAGTCCAGCCGTCACAGAGAGCACCAGCCTCTCTAGTCCATCTGTCACTCTACTCCCATAATACCCTGCTCCTCTAACCGATCTTGACTCATCTGAACAATGGGGAGGGGAGGGCAGTGTATGTTTTAATCTGATATACGAGAGATTGGCAACAAACCGGCAAACCAGTGTAATAGGTTTGTGTTCAGGGTCAATTTTAAATGTTGTCCCTTGTATTAACATTATTTTTAAGTTTAGGTGGAACATCAGCTGGGATACTATGGTGTTGTTTAAATGTAATTTATCTTTTTAATGTTTCTATATTTGGGTCTTTTGGGCTTTGTTTGGAAAGTCACACTGTGTAACAGGAGTACCAACCAAAATGACGTTATTCAGTATTATCACAGACACTTTTTGTTTATTTTGCTAGGAACTAGCTGCATAATCATTATGAATTCTGATGTCAGTCCCAGAACCTAATGTATCATATCACATTCTGCACACGTTTAACCCCTATTGCTCCTGTCAGTCAAACCACATCATAGCAGTATTTACAAAGAATGAGGGCCAATAGAGCATTTCTGAGTAATTTTTGATGTCAGAGGCAGACGGGTAAATCACGGGAAATGTCAACTAACTCCAGAGTGATAGGTCTTGGAGAATGAAGGATCTTCACTGGTGCACACCTCTTCCTCTGACATTCTGACATGCATTTCTGGCACATTTTTGACACTGCTTCTACAAAAAGAGACTGTTTGATATGCTTCTCAACTCCTCCTTGACTGGTGTGTTTGTTCTCCAGCCCTGCCGCATGTCATAATGTGCCGAGGCAAATCACTTCCAGCCCTCAGCCGAGATGGTGATTGTATCAAACTGACCCCTAACAAGCTGTCAGATCACATTTGCTAAAGCATGCATCAGCACTGGTCCGCTTGGCACCCATTTGGACAGAGTGGACAGGTCATATTCAAGGAGAGTTATTGCCTTAGTTCTCTATGAAAACAAAGCGAGACAGAGACAGACAGTTGGACTTTTCTCATACCAATAAGGATGGCATGTTGTAAAGTCTTAATGAAATTGCATCACATGTTTGTGCATACAGATAATGGATGGGGGAGTTGGTATCTTAGTTTGTCCTATTACATCAGCTCCTGTGCTGTGAAATCTTCAGTTCCCCAGTTACCACATAGAGGGAGCTCATGCGTATTGAGAACCCAAACCTGGAAATGCTGAATGAGTGAGAGCGTGTGTGTAAGAGAGAGAGGGAGAGAGAGAGAGATAAAGAGAGGGGGATAGCGAGCGAGAGAGAGGTGCGGAGAACGAAATCACATCGTAGGGGAAGAACAACGTGACACAAACCAGGAGCTCGGATATCCATTTCAGCCGTGCGACAGGTATAACATGCACTTTCACTTTGGAGTAACTTCGGCCAAGTCGGTGGGAATCTTGTGACACACTGTGTGTCCCGAAGCAGCGTGACAAGTTGGGAGAAGGGGAAAAAACGCTCTGGCATCACTATTTTTAAATGGGTACGGCGAGATTTGGGGGGCGTGGACGGTAGAGGAGCAGCAGTGAGCATGTTGGCTCCTGGCTGCAGCTCCAGTGTGGTGATGTGCCGGGTGCAGGAACTGGACTACGCGTAGACTGAGCGGCTGTTGGACGCGGAACCGGGAGGTTGCCGTCAATTGTCGGCAGCCGACTTTCTGTCATTTTGAAGCCCGTATTGGATCATTTGGATTTATCTTTTCATCGCACTGTCGTTCGGCGATACAGAGGACTACAAGGAAGCGGGATCAGTCGTGAAAACGACGCAGCAGCTGCCGTGCGTAACGGACGAAATCCGGGAAAGCAGCTATTTGAATGACAATAGTTTGAGCAACGGCAAGCTTATTTGTTAAAGAACTCCTTATTATTCGGATTGACTGTGCATGGTAGCCTAAGTCAATTACATGCTAAAATGACGTTTGGGATTTGAAAGCTGTTGAAGTGAAACTGAAGTGATCCCAATGTGTACATATTGACAGGTGTTAGTCATACTGTCCGTCAGGCTGAGCCTTTAATTCACTTACAGCTCTGTTTTTATGTCTGCAAACACCGCGGACAAAAGGCTTAGGTTAACTAACAGTTGGTATGGATAATCCGCAAACTATTTAATTCAGTTACCTTTACTTCGCTAATACTCAAAGATAGGACATTGTTTTAGCGACCTTATCATGAGTTTGAAACGCCGCATGGGAAAGTAACCATTACTTAGACTTTTCCCCACCAAGTTGTAGCCAATCTGGCAACAGCCAAAATGACAAGCAATGGACCTGTCATCGTTTTCGAGTGGCTGAAGACCCTCCAGCTTGCCCAGTACGTCGAGGCTTTTGTGGATAATGGATATGACGATCTGGAGGTTTGCAAACAAATAGGCGACCCCGACCTGGATGCCATCGGCGTCTACATGCCTCACCACAGGGAGAGGATTCACGACGCGGTGAGAAGGCTAAAAGATGAAGCCAACGAGACGGCCAGTGGACTCTACTTCACCCTGGAGCCGATGCCACCCGCAGCTGAGCTTTATACCAGTCACATGGTGGACCAGTACGAGTCCAAACTGCGGGGATCCAAGTCCTGGACAGAGCCCAACAGTGAGCGGGTTGGGCGCAACGGTGGGTACATGAGCGCGCAGAGGAACCTGACGCTGGGCAACAGGAGGGAGCTGGTGATTTACCCCAAGCTGAAGCTGAAGATCATGATCAGGGATAAGCTCATCAGAGATGGCATCAACCTCTCCAAGCCACCCTACTCTAATAAGGTAAGACGAGGAACATGGATAAACACAGGTCATGATGGTCATATGGCACAATAGGGACCACCACCTGTCAAATGTCATTCAAACAATGGAGCAAAGCATTTATTCTCATACACAGCAACATTTACCACATAAAAAGTCAATAAGTCTGATATTCACTTGCATACAGTCTCTAAACTTTTGACTCAATTTGATACATTATTTACAAGAGTTGGTTATAAAGGCCACACAAAAATATAATTTTCTTAACTAAACAGATGATTTGCAGAGGTGGTTGTTATGAAGTTTATATGGGGCTGTTGCTTGCTTCATATGTCATTTTGTTGAAAGCCTACTGTAAGTCAGACAGATGCACCACTTTTGTTAATGGTGTATTGCAATCACGTGTTTTAACATCAAAATAAGATCAAATAAACTGAGCCATAGGTAATTGCCAGTGCGATGCCTAAACATTTCAGCACCTCCTGCACTTTGCAGAAGTGTGAGTGGTTGGTGTCACAGTGAATGATGGGAGTGAAGTTGCCAAAGATCAATGAGCAGAGTGCAGAGAGGAGATCCTAACGGAGCTTTCACCCTGCCTGTGATTTCCTGTAGGAGTAAAAGATGTACACTCTGATTATTAATCTACTCTGACCTCACCTGTCCACTGACTTGCCTCTGCATTCAGTGTGGGTGGATCAACCAGGCCCATGAGGATATAAGCCCTGGCTCTTTGCTATGATGAATGGTCAATGGGCTATCAATGGCAGAGACAGTAAATGAGGAGCGCCCAGCTGGGTATGCTGTCGCACTCCTGGAACCAGGCTGAAAGGGCCTCTTGTTTTTACAGGACTGCTAGTGACCTTTTCTTCAGAAGTGTCTGAATAATATGCTTTACCAGCTGGGAGGCCTCCACTGAATGACTGATTACATGCAAGGAGGCACTGCAGGCCATTGAGGAGTCAGAGGCCGAGACCTTTGTCATTTTTACTGGGGCTGACGGCAACATATAGTTTTATTTACAACTGAATACTTAACATGACACTTTCAAGTTGAGTTAGCTGGTTGGCATGGACTTTTGAGTTGAATAATTCTATGATTGACATCATTTCATAGAGAATGGATGACCTAGAAGTCAAGTATTTTAGTTGTCCTGGCCTTATGGCACACTCAAGTGGATGTTTTCTTTAATAATTTGCACACTTGACCGTTTTGAGTAGTTATGGGTTCTCTGAAAATTGATGGAGTTTTACTCAAATCTTTATCGAAAGAGATTCAACAGAAGAAGTAAGGCTGGGGATCATTCCCAAAGGTATTTGTTCATTCTTATGTCCGTGTGTCAGTTGAATTGTCTGTTTGGATATGCAAATAATGATGCGTAGGTGTGTAACCGCTTTTTAGTATCACATGCCCTTTGAACTGAAGCAGATCCTGAAGATATGCTGTTTTTCATGTGGCGATATCCAATCATGATGACATTATCTACCTCACGTATCCACGTAATCTAAATGAATGAGTATTCACATTTGTGCAGTATTTGTAATCTCTTTTTGTGTATGTCTGCCACTTTGCTTGGTTTTAAATCCCAAAGAGATTAAGGATTGTTGAGGGATTATTTGACAAACCAGGGCTAAAACAAAGTTTAGTTTCAAAGGGTAAGCTATCTATTGTTTTGAAGGCTGTATTTATGTAAAGCCAAAGCTTGGCCACTGAGGTTTTGGTGGGGAATGAGTAGGTCAAGGTCTCTCTCTGACATTCTGGCTTTCTTTTTGTGTATGTGTCTAACCCTGTAGTTTTGAATTGGCTCCAGCCCAGTGCTTTTCTCCCCAGGAGGAGTGAGGAGAGTGTGAGAGATTGTGCTGTGACCAGCTGATGGAGGTTTGACTTACTGGGCTGTGATTGGCCTAAGGATATCGCTCTTCTTTCTGCCTTTGACACAAGATGACAACCCCAGTGGAGTCTGAGAGCAGAGAGCCAGACTCGGGGCAATTACAGGACACACAATGTCAGTCTCAAGGGATGTTCCTTGTATAGTATATCCAAGATCTCCATCCACATTTAAACTGTCCTCTGTGCTCAAAATAAACAGGGATCCTCATGGAGCAGTCTGACAGCCCTCTGCTCATCTTTGTGTTACCGGCTTTGTCTCCATTGTTTGCCAGTATGCAAAAACCAGAGGCAGTGTAAATGCTACGATTCAGAAATCCTCTCTAGCATGTTCTAGATTATTATCAAACAATTCACCGAATGGGCTCTGCTGTAATAAATACCCATGATCCTTATCATGGCCGTAGAGACCCCTTGTCTGAGAGAGTATTATTTCTTATGATGTAAACAAACACTTACGACTACGACTGCACATTTCTCATCAGGGAACAATAAGCAGAGAAGATGGTGCTGCCTATTTGCCTGTTGTCAATGCACTGGGGTCGTAGAGTTATCTTTTATTGTTTTGGTTAAAATAAATGTCTTTATTGACAGTAAATATGTTGAGAAGAAACTGTCAACTGTTTTTTTGAGTTTTGGAGAGGTGCTGTATATGGTGCCAGCGAACTGCTTACTGGGCACACTATTGTTATCTCAAAACACAAAAGAACGTACATTTCCCCTCTGTGGGACTGATAAAGGTATTCTGATTCTGAACCCAACCTAGTGGGTATCTGATGACATTCGAGACCTTGCCTAATGCAATGAAGTAGAAGGGTTTTTTAATTATCAGATAAGTATAGCAAAAAAGATTGGAAAAATCAAATAACACTTAATCCATCCCCCTTATGTTCATCCAGTTTTTGTTTAGTGAAATACCATGAAATGAAATCTCTTTCAAATGTGTTCTAATCCTGGTCCCATCCAAAAACTGCTTCTCGAATTGGTAGACATAATAGAGCCTTATTGTTAGTGCTGTGATTCGTGAGGAAGTAGAGGCTAAACACAGGAAGATTCTCCATTGTTTATATGGAAGCTGATGGAGCCGCATGTCCTTTCACTTGTCTGATTTACATTCCCAATTTCCGTCTATTGAAGCAGACTGCGGAGTCTGCGGAGGCATGTGTCCAGCATTGTGCCGATGGGTGGATGATAAAAACCTGGGTGTCGTGCAGAGAGAGAGAGAGAGAGAGAGAGGGTAGTAAATATGTAGACACGTTGTTTAAGCTGGTTTAAAAAGGCTTGGTTGGTGCTTGGAGGAAAGTTTGATGTTCAAGTCATTTCTTCAACTCCCACAGAACAGCTGATCAAATGTGTAGGGTGGGAATCATGAGGCCTGCAGCTTAACGGCCCTGAAGAATGTAAGAAATGCAGTGGACACCCAGGTGTTGTTCCTGTCTTGGAGGGGGTTAAGCAAAAGGCAAGGTAGCTTTTAACTGACTGTTTTATTAGCTTTCCATTACAAAGAAGGGAAAAAAGAGGAAGTTCACCACCTTGCATGTCAAACACTCACCTCACTTCCTGTTTCAGTCCTTTTATCTGATTAGTATCCCAGCTCTCTTTTCTGGCAGGAAATTGAGTTTCTTTTTGAGATGACCCCTTGTCGGCCCACTGGTTAGAAAGGGCCTTCGGGCTGACTGGACAACTGCCAAGGCTTGGTGTGAAAATCCTTTAAAAAACTCTAATGTGTTGGAATCAAAGCTTTTTTATATATTTCCACTGCAGTGTCACCAATATTTAAACATTGACAGCACAGAGAATCTCCATAGATCTGAAGATTTAAAACAGTGCACGGATTTGTATTTAAGCATCAGTGTTATATATTTGTTCCATCCAGTTTTCCGAAATATGCATGTTATTGTAATATGACAAATACTTAATATAAGGCTAGACCCAGAGCTTTTCATTACCTCTGTGAAACACTTCAGTGAACGCTTTTCACTAGCTTCTCATTTAGCCTATGTTTTTTGGCAAATATCCTCCTCATCTTTGTCCCATGCTACAGGGCTGGCATTTTGCCATAATGGGGGAGAAAGCCTTGGTTTTCCATGTGCTCTGCTGAAGCTCTGTTTGCTTAGTTTTTATTAAAGGCTTCTTAAAGGCATAATCAGCCAAGGACTCATAAAGGGGAAGTCATAAAGAAGTCAAGGACCAGCCTCTATTGTCCTGAGAGAACAGAGAAAGTCAATTAGAAAAGTGAGCTGCTGTTTGCATTAAAGAAGAGGACGGTTATTTGGAGCACTAAAAAGAGATTCTGTTCCCATCAGATGGAAAAAGACACATATACACCCACTTAGGGGCTCTTTTCGTAAACAGCTTGTGTTTAGGGCCTTTTTAGATCATCTTTATAACCATAAACTACAAGTACTAGTATTTACCTCTTAGGAGAGCTGGGTGTGGTAAGGACTGATGGCTATCACAATGACCTTTCACCTCGCTACTCTGACACAACACTAAAGTGATGTCATCCAAGACCGTGGGTGTTTTTCAATGTCGAGTACGCTTGCTTGGTAGCACATGTCTTCCGAGCGTCTTGCTTCAGAAGCGAGGCAAGAATACTTCCTGGCATTCGGAAAACAAAGAGTGGAACAGGCTAGCAAGTGTGCAGGTGTGCTTCATATGAGAAGCCCCGCCTTACATTTTCCGCCACAGATTTGGGGAAATTGGTCCGTGCGCAAAGCATTGTGGGGATTTTAAGACCGCGGAGTCTACACACTCGAAATTTCTCCAAACGAAGTACGCCGGGCTCGGAAGATTTCCAAGTATGCTGGACATTGGAACAGTACTTCGGCGGCACTCGATGACGTAGTATGCTTGAAATAGTGGCTCTGGAGCAGCTTTACTCGCGATTGAGAAACACCCCATGATACAGCCCACACACTCCTGTTTCTCAGTTGTTGCCACAGCTAAGCATTGTCAAGTTTACTTTGCACTTCATTTCATCTACCATCTCATGTGCATTAGATCACTTTTCCACCTGTAGAAAATCCTATGTCCAATAATTTACAAACAATGTTCACAACTTTGCACCTGTTAGTCAAAAAACAAGAGACGCATCATGTCATTTCTTAAGTGCTACAGTGACACATCCACTCGCT